GGGGGGGCAGCTCCTCTGCGCAGCTTGTTTTTCTTTAATTAAACATCTGGTGCTCTGTGTCCTGGGAAGCCTCAGACCCTCGCTGACAGCCCTCCCCCCACCTTTGGCATCGATGATAGGTTGAGGGGGGGAAGGGCTGGGGCTCTGGGGCCCACCTGTCCCCGGACTAGCACATGGGACCAAGGCTTCAAGAGCCTGACCTTCCCGTCCTCACCCCCAGTGCCGCCGAGGGAGCCCGTGCTCAGCTGCCGCTCCAACACCTACCCCAAGGGCTTCTACTGCACCTGGCACCTGCCCACTCCCACCTACATCCCAAATACCTTCAACGTGACTGTGCTGTGAGTAACTGTGCCCTTGATCCTTCCCAGCCCTGACCTTTGGCCTCCCTGTCTCCTCATTACATCCTGAGTCTACTCCGGCCCCGCTTAGGCTTGCCAGTCCTCTAGCCTGCCCTTGATATTGTTAACTGTACCTGGGCCTCATTCCTTTCCAGGCATGGCTCCAAAATCATGGCGTGTGAGAAGGACCCAGCCCTCAAGAACCGCTGTCACATCCGCTACATGCACCTGTTCTCCACCATCAAGTACAAGGTCTCCATTAGTGTCAGCAATGCCCTGGGTCGCAACGCCACAGCTATTACCTTTGATGAGTTCACCATCGGTGTGTGATAGTGAGGGGGCGGGGGGCCTCATATCCTGGGCGTGTGGAAATGCGTCACAGGTGTATGTGAGCACTGGAGGGGCTGTTGACTTCCTGTGCACCTGTGACCATACAGGTGGATGTCCTTTACCTGCTGGCCAGAGACTTGTCCAGCAGCTCTTTTCATTGTCTCTTTGGCTCAGAGAACATGTAGCGGTGGGGGGGAGGGGGACAGGCTGGGCCAGACTCCTGTGCAGCTGCAGCCCCCTCCCTCATGCTAATGGCTTCCTTACGGCCTGTGATGAATGAGGTGTCAGAACAGGAGACAGCAGTGGGACAGACACTGCCCTCTCCCTACCTCTCATCCCATCCAGACCCTCTGCCTGCACTTGCCCTACTCCGGACAGGCTCTGCCTGCTCCTACCCCAGCCCAGACGTGGCCCTTCTGTGTCTCTGGGCCTTTCCATCTTCCCCACAAGCCTCACAGCTGGGTCTTCAGTCAGACTATTTCTGTATGAGCTGGGCCCTTAGATTCAGCCATCATCAGATCCCCAGCTCACCACTAACCCACTGAGCATCTTCAAATCCACACTGTTCCAAGAGAGTCCAGACTCAGTTTAGAACTAGGGGGAAACCAAAATCAAAAGAAAACAGGGAAAGCTGGCAGGGGCGGTGTGTGATGTGGTGTTAGAAGGGTGATCTGGGTGGCATTAGAGGTGAGAGTGATTGTGGTAGGGGCAGCAAGTAGGCTTCATTTTTGAGAGGCATGGACCTCTCACCATGAGGATGGCATTGTGATGGAGGCTGGTTGAAATTTAGAGTGTTGCTACCAAGGGCTGGTGACTGACTGTCGCAACAGCCACATCAGAGGTGGTCATCAGATGGTTATTCATGGTGGTTGCCACAGGTGACAGCAGAGAAGGGGGATGGTAGCTGTTGAATGTTGGCAACAGAGATGGCTGATCAGTGGCTGGAGTTGATAGTGTGGGGTTTTTCCTGGAGATTAGCACACTAATGAAGCTATGTCTCTTTAATAGTGAAGCCCGACCCTCCAGAAAACGTGGTAGCCCGGCCAGTGCCGAGCAACCCTCGTCGACTGGAAGTGACGTGGCAGACACCCTCAACTTGGCCTGATCCTGAATCCTTCCCTCTCAAGTTCTTTCTGCGCTACCGGCCTCTCATCCTGGACCAATGGCAACATGTGAGTACCTGAGTGTGCAGTAGAGCGAGAGAGGAGTCTGTGCCCCAGGTAGTATCAGGACCAATAGGGGACCCAGTGGCAGTCTGAGAGGCTAACCTGGGGGAGAAAGGGATCAGGTGGGCTTGGGAAACGGAAGGAGCTGAGAGAGGCACCTCATCATAGTATGTCTTTGAGGACTCCCAGGGCAGTAGAGAGAAGTGCTGGGAGAGGGGTGACAGGGTGAACAGTGTTTCCCACTTCTAGGCTCTGGCTGTCAGCCCTTCTCAGGCACCTCCGATTACATGAGGTCTGTGCTGGACCCAAAGAACAGGATGTGGCCCCCTCCTCAAAGATTTACAGATGGGTCAAGCAATTAGGACCAGATACTGGGATTGAGTTTGATCTGGGGGTGAGTCAGATCACAGTGATTATTCAGTCTCCAAAGTAAGACCTAGTTTAAAGGTCAGCTTAAGGTTATGGATTAGGTGGTGGCCCGGGCTGGGAAGCAAACAGTTTGGACAAGGGTCAGTATAGAGAGAGGCTATGGTCTGGATATTGATCAAGCTATGATGGAAAGCTCTAGGAGACAGCAGGGCTATGAAGACTTGTGGGTATTCTCATGTTGAGAGCTCAGGGCCTGTAAGCTGTGAGCACCTTGGGTGGCCCTTGAGCTCTGGACTAGGACTAGCTTTGGAAGTGTTCCATGAGGCAAGCCAGTCTGTCTCCTGGGGGTAAGCTTGAACCCCCACCAGGCTCCAGTACCATCTTCTTATGTCCTTCTCCTGTCTGCCTTTAAAGTCTGTAATTTGATTCCTAGGTGCCTGTCCTGGTTGTAGGCCTGGCCCTCACAAAGGCTACTCACACTCTCACATGTTCCCTGACAGAGTCCGGAGTCCCTCCCGCCTGGCCAGCTGCCCGCGCCTAATGCATTGCTAATAACCAGGGTCTGCTTTCACAAGCCCCCTCCCCCGCTAACGAGCTACAGGCAGCAGCTCTGCGCATTGCAGCGCACACGCCTTGCAGTGGACCTGGCACAGTGCCCACCACACACGGGAACATGCATAGGCACACATGGCTTTCAGCAGGAACCATGCTGCATACATGCTTGGGACCAACGTGCCAAGACCATACTGTGGGCAGAGCTCACCTTTGCTCTGACACAACGCATGCTCTGTGGCACATCGTAGCCTTATTCCATGTCTCACATGCGTTAGAACTGGTCTCTTCAACCTGTTCTGTATGGAATATCTTCCCTGTCCTTGATCTTGAAGAGGAACAGGTGTGTGGCTGCAAGAGGAAAAAATCATTTGGTGTTTCATGAAAAATACAGACCATAAATTACAAGGCAGTAGGGGCCAGGAGGTATGGCAGAGGCTGTCTCAGCGTGGACAAAGGGTAAGGAAAGAACTGGAACCCAGTATGGGGTTATTATGTCAGCTGCTCTGGTCCTAACTCAGCCAGGAGGCTTGAGGGCAGTGCCTGACATTTGCAGCTGACTGAGTATTGGGCTTCAAGGCCAGAGGGCGGCAGTGGCAGCTCCTGTTAACTGAAGGGCCTTTCCCTTAAGGATCAGTGACAACTGACGAGGAGGGTCCAGGCCTAGGATTATCACTGCCCAGAGGTGGTGGCCAAGAAGTGTAGTGTCAGGCATCCACCAGAGGGCTAGCAGTTTGATCTGTCCCCCTTGGCTTTCTCCTTTGTCTTTGGGGAAAGGATATGTGGAGGTCTGTAGGCCAAGAATGAGGGAGAGGTTTGCTAAGCAGCCACAGGGGATCTTTATAGACAAGAGGAGACTAGGGACCAGAGTTGGGCCTGGGACCCCACCACCATGAGAAGGAGGCTTTTGGTGCCCATCCACCTTTCAGGGCTGGGAGTAGGACTGACTGAGGCAGGGTCTGGGCTCAAGTGTGTTTCAGCATGGCCCTGACCTTTGCCAGGGCCTCCAGCATCGGGACCACAGACTTAGCAGGTATTAGAGGGCCCCTGCTCTTCGTGGTCCTGACAGCACTTGGATGGAAGCTCTCGAGCACACACACATGCATGTGTATAACAGACCAGCAGGTCAGGTGGCCTAGAACTTATTTTTCTGGGGGAGAAGACTGGAATGGGAACCAAAAAGGCCCTAAAGCCAGACATGGCCCAGAACAGCCTTCTCCTTCGCCCCCACCGGCTGCCCCTGTTTACGAGGCGGCTTAATGAGGCAGCGGGTGCCGCTGAGATGAAGCAGAGCCCAGCCTGGGCCTGGGAGGGGCGCCGGACAGGCAGGCTGCCCTGGAGAGTGGGGGGAAGACCGGCAGGATGAGGCCAGCAAGAGGGGGTGGGGCGGGGTGGTGATGCCATGCCTCCAGGAGCAGCAGTTCTGACACCCTCTGGGCTGTCCCCAGCCCTTCCTACTTCAAGCAGAGTGGGAGCACGTAGGAGCACATGGGAGTCCTCTGGGAGAGGCCCTGCTGGGGCTGGGTGGCAGGCACACACAGTGACATCGTTGGCTGAAGGCTAGTTGGCACTTTCCTCACAGCTCAGTCCTCATTATAACCCTGAGGTAGTTACTGTCACTAACACTAGTTTGTAGAGAGGGACTCAAAGCCTGTGGAGATAGCTATGCAGCCTGGCCTCCAAGTCAGCAAGAGATGGAGCCAAACTTTCATCTTAGGCATCTTCTCTCCCGCGTCAGTGCTTGTGACCTTTTTTCCATGGCTCGCTGACAGGAGGTAGCCTACCATCACACTACTTCCCGTTAGTCTTCCCCTGGCCCCCCAGCATCCCAGATAACAACATGACGGCTCCTGAGCATTCTAGCCTCCTCCAGGCCTGGGATCCCTTTATTCTCCTACCCTGCCCTGTGACTGGGCCTGCAGGTGGAGCTATCAGATGGCACAGCGCACACCATCACGGATGCCTATGCTGGGAAGGAGTACATCATCCAGGTGGCAGCCAAGGACAACGAGATCGGGACGTGGAGTGACTGGAGTGTAGCCGCTCACGCCACACCCTGGGTAGAGGAGCCACGACATCTCACCACCGAAGCTCAGGTCCCCGGTGAGCCTGCTTGCCCCCTGTCCCTTGCCCCTTACTCCCTCCAGCTCTTCCTAGGAGCAGAGCCTCTGCCATTTACCCTCTCAGGCTGATACCCACCCACCCACCCATCTGCCCCGAACCCGTGTCCCCAGTACTTGTTCTCTAGATGTCCTTGGCGTGGGTAGGGCAGGGTGCAGTGGTGATCTGTGAGCCGTAGGAAGCAGGGTGGGAGGAGCAGCACTCGTCTGCTCAGGGAGCAGGGGCGAAGTGCCTTGTGAGACCCCAGATCTGGGCGGTGCCAGCCCTGGCCCTGCCCTGAGTTTTCCCATGCTACCCAGAGACCACGACAAGCACCACCAGCTCACTGGCACCCCCGCCCACCACGAAGATCTGTGACCCTGGGGAGCTAGGCAGCGGCGGAGGACCCTCCATCCCCTTCTTGACCAGTGTCCCCATCACCCTTGCCCTGGCTGCCGCTGCCGCCACAGCCAACAATCTCCTGATCTGGTAGGTGAGTGAGGCTGGGAAGCGATGGGGAGGGCAGCCTCAGGGACCTGCATCGAAGCATTAGCCCTCACTGACCACCCCAACCTGTCTCCCCAGAGCCCGGGCATCCCACGAGGATATGTCAGAGCGCCTGCAGAGGAGCAGGAGGCCGGAGCTGAGCCTGCATACCCCGGTTTCTATTTTGCACATGGGCAGGAGGACCTTTTGCATTCTCTTCAGACACAATTTGTAGAGACCCCGGCAGGCCCGGGCCTGCCGTCCCCTAGCCGCGTCACACCAAGCCGGTCCATCTTTCCATCCAGAGAGGAGGGCCATGCAGCTAACCCACCCACCAAAGACCCCTCTCATCTTTCCCCCTTGGGCTGGACCCTCCAATGCCAGCGACTCCCAGGAGCCCTTGGGGGACCTGAGGGAAGCCCCCACCATCCACAGTTTTCTTCTCCTGCCCCAGTCTCCTGTTTGTTCCAGGGTCTCTATTGCCACCATCAGATTATAAGCTCCTGACACTGGGGGGCCCAGCCATCCCCCTCCCCCCGGTGCCCACACTTTCCAGTCTGTCCACCTCCGCCCCTGTTTTGTACGATCCTCCACTGACCCCTTCCTACCCCCAGTATTTAATGTCCTGTCAGTTCCTTCTAGTCTGACTCAATGGTAACTTGCTGTATTTGAATTTTTTATAGATGTATATACAGGGGTGGGAGGAGTAGGGTTCTCATTAAACGTCACCATTTCATGAGACCTTGGAGCAGAACCACTTTGCGAGGGAACCAAATCTTCCGAAGACCCCTGACCTGCAGGCATGGAAGGAGGGAGAAATCCACTTGGGGAGCATGGACCACAGTACTTAGGGATCGTGCACTCTACTTCTTAAGGACTTGGGCTCCCCTAGAGTATGCAGCCAAGGGCAAACTTGTGGGAGAAGGGTCCAAGTGAAGACTGGACCCACATGGCGGTATCCGGTCATTTGTAGAGGCTGCGCTTGTAGGCTCTGGCTGGACCAGCGCTGTTTCTCAGTCGCCCCCGGTGCTGCCTTCTAGGAGAACCCAGCCAGGCCACAGAGGTTCAGAGCTGGCCCAGCAGGGTGGCAGCCTGAAGGCAGAGGCTCCTGAGAGCATGGATAGGGATTGGATCTGGACCTGAGAACTGGAATTTTCAAGGTTAAGCCTCAGATTTAGATTTTATATTGTACTCAGGTGGCGGGTCTGGGCTCCTGTCCAGCCAGCTGTCCAGGTCCCTAAGCTGGGGTCTAAGTTCTCTCTGACTTCTCCTGACTGGCCAACACCTGTTCAAGGTCCAATTCTAGCCAGGTGTGGTGGCACATTCCTTAAGCTCTTTGCCCAGGAGGCAGAGGCAGGAAGATCTCTGTGAGTTTGAGGCTAGCCTGGTCTACATAGTGAGTTCCAGGACAGCCAGGGCTATGTAGAAAGACCAAGTTTCAAGGTCCACCTTCTCTCACAGAAGCCACATTGCTGAAAACACCCAGGCCTAGAGTCAGACAGACCTCTGATGGATGAGAAGAGGCCAGAGTCCTATCCTGGGAGCCAGGTTTGGCCTTCCTCTGTGTGCTTAGAATAAGGGAGGTGTAGCCGAAGTCACACACCAGTGTGTCCACACTCCCATAGCAGGTTCTCAATGCCACTAAAAATTTCACTGATGTCACAGGACTCCACCCTTGACCTCAGACTACGCACTCTCCACCAGCCCTGGCAGGCCCACATGGGCCCATGCCCCGGGAGGGAGATCACAGCACCCACAGCACCGGTGCATTAGGCCTTCCCAGATAGGAGGCTGCCTGTCCCTCAGGCTGGAGGAGAGAGAATGTTCCAGGTAGAGACTTGTGAAGAGAAAAGACCTGACACAGAGCAACTGTGGACTTTCCGATTGTTTGTTCATTTGTTTGTTTGACTGATTTCAAGACAGGGCCTCACTATGTAGCTCTGGCTGCCCTGAAACTCACTATGTAGACCAGGCTGGCCTCAAACTTACGGTGATCCACCTGCCTCTGCCTCCCATGGGTCCCGTGAATGCCAGGATTAAAGGCGTGTGCCACAATGCCTGCCTAACCTGTGGCTTTTCAGATGATGGGAGCCTGTGGCTCCTGGGGCACAGAGGAGATCCCCAGAGTAGACATCCAGAGAAGCAGCCCTGCGCCTGCGCCTGTGCCTGCATCCGGAACTGCTGCTTTGCCTGAGTCAATGCCACAGCCTGCATTCTAGGTCCAGCCTGTTTATGGCGAGACCAAGGGGCTACCAACTCTCCTGCCAAGAATACCATATCCTTGCAATGTGTTAAGACCTTGCGCCTTGTCTGTCGTCAAGGTGGGTGGGCTGACGTTAGAGGGTGCCTGGCCTGTGCCGCCTTTCTGACTTGAGAGCCTTGGTCAGCCCTGACCGAGGGCTGGGCATCGGCAATCTGGCCTCCATTAGCAACATGGGGAAACAATTATACTGGGCCTGGGAAGGAGGGGGCAGAACGAGGAAAGGGGGCCTGCGGAAGCCTCAGAGGCTGATAGAGGGGAGAACTAGGGTATCTCCCTGCCCCCAACTCCAAGGGATCAGCTTTGTCCTAAGTCCTTCTGGTCAGTGTCATTGATTCTAGGCGTGATCATCCCTTCTTGCAAGTCCCCTTCCCTTAACCTCATAGAAAGTTCACTTTGGAGGGTCTCAGCTCCTGCAGCTGCTGCCTCCCTTGAGTACAGTCCACAGCCCTTTGCAAGTGTGGTTCTGGGGAAGCTGGGATGAGTATAGGCATCTGTTCATGGAGTTAAAACAGAACCCAGAAATGAGAACATTTCTGAGGGGCCAGGGAAGCAAAGGTTCGGGTCCTCAGCCTACACGGCAGCAGCACAGTGGACCAGCCTTTAGTCCATTAGTTCAGTATACTTCCCAAGGTGCCCTGGGAACGGTGCCCTCGATGTCTTGATCTGTCAGCAACTAGGACACAGGGCTTTCCTCCCTCTAAACCCCTTTGCCCCTCTACTCTGACCTGATTCTGTCTCTATATTTGTCTCTTTCTGTCCTTGTCTCTGAATAAGTCTTTGTCCTGGTCCCAATCTTTTTTCTTTTTTTAAGATTTATTTTACTTTATTTGTATGTATATGTGTCTGTGGAGTCAGACCTCCCTGGAACTGGAGTCACAGGCGGTTGTGAGCTGCTTGGCATGGATGCTGGGAAATGAACTCAGGCCCTCTGAAAGAGCAGTACACACTCTTATCTGCTGAACCATCCCTCCAGCCCTGTGGCCCCACCTTTGCACCTCTGCACGTCTCTGTCTCATCTCTGTCTCTTTCTCCCTGTCTTTTGTCTTTTTGTCTATCACTTGTTCTTTGACTCCTTCCTTTTCTAAGTATCTCTCTGCCTGTGCTCTCTCACTTGCTCTCTCTCTCTCTGCCTTTCTCCTTCTGTTGTATTTCCATCTGTTTCTGTCTCTTCATCCCTGAATCTGTGTATATGTGTTTTTTTTTTCTATGAGCACCTCCATCCCTAAGTCCACGCCAGTCTTGGTCCCTCTTCCCAGACTCAACCCCTCTTCTGCTTCCCTCTGAGTTCCTGCCCCACATCCAGACCCCGGCCTGTGGTCTTTGCTCCTCTCCGACCCAAGCCAGGGTCTGTCCTAGATTCTTCTGCCCCCTCTCGGCCACCTGCCTGCCCTCCATTCCTGTTCTGAGGCTAGTTGACTATAAACATACAAATCCTGTGTCTTCATTCCCAGCATCTAGGCAGGGCAGAGATAACTATCAGGCAAGACTTCTGGAAAGCCCCCAGCCCTGAGCGCTTCCAACAGTAAGGCACCCACTACCTCTGTAGGATGAGATTCAAGATTCATTGTCACTGGGAGAGAAATTCGAGCTTGGCTCCGAATTCCAGTGTTGTGCCCTTTACCTGTGTATCTCTGTGTCCTTAGGCCCAAATGCCCACTATACCCACAGCCAAGAGCTTCTGACCTTTAAAAGGTTCTACCTCTTTGACAATTCAGGGCTAGAGCCCTGTAAGCAGGAGGGATTGGGGTGTGGTCCCTCTACTTCCACCCCTCCTCAGAAGTGAAGAAGGAGGTCTGAGGAGGGGGAGGGCTAACCTGAGGGTGGACAGTGTGAGAGGCCTGGGTAACAGGGTCAGTTTGATGGGTCCTGGCTGAGGAGATTTATCTGAAGACATTGTGTGTTGAAGGCATAAGATCTCCGAGTTTACCTGGGACATTCCCAGGTTTAGTACTGAAATATCTCAAATCTTGGAAAACCCATGCCAGGCAAAGGGGAACAATTGGCCACTGTATCTGCAACAGCTTTGCTGCACAGACCAGTCTGAGTGGATGGGTTGACCTCAAGGGTGTCTTAAGGGTCCTAACCTGACACATTACTCTGAGAGAGAGGCTATTCTAGGCCACAGTCTCCTTTGACTAGATAAGGCCAAGGAGGGGGACAGAATACTTCCAGGCCAGTGACCTGGGGAGTGGCCACCAGGGGGCAGGGCAGGTTCTCAGGAGACTTGGGCAATGGCCCCAGAGAGAAGCCAATCATTTGGGGGCTTGAGCACAGGAACCGCTACTGTGGTATTGTATGCAAATTATGGTGATGGCGTGCAGCCACGAAGTGTTAAGTGTTAGGTGACTAGGCACACAGGGCACATCTGTGTGGTATGTTTGTAGCTTGTCTGCTGTGGCCATAGTTGAGGCCTTTGCTGTGGCTGTAGAAAGAACAGGGCTTTGAGGACAGAAATGTATGTAACTGTGACAGCAAAGATGCTTCCCTGGGAGGGGCCAATGATGGAAGAGAAACATGGCAGGAGGCTTTCCAATGTGCATCCTATCCGCCAGAGAATGTCTACAGGAGCATGCACAGCACATGCAGTAGGAGGGGAGCAGGACACTGTTTAAAGGAATCACCAGAGTGTTGCCCAGAAGAGAGGAGTTTGGGAAGAGGGGTGTAGAGAAACAAGGATAGGACGAGACAAAAGAGAAGTCTTATAGACTCCTTCCACCATAGCCCTACTATGAAAACCAACAAAACCAAAACAGAACACTGCCAAGCAAAGGAGTTTAGAGGAGTCCCTTAAATAATGACACCCCCCACAAGCAACACAAGATTTGAGTGCAGTGACTGATATTCCTCCCTCCCCTGCACAGAAGCAGCACTCAGAAAGGGAGAACTGACCAATGAGAATCCATACTAACAGTGGCCCTGCAGGAGAGAGCGTAAGATAGAGAAGGTGAGGGGACTTGTTAAGTAGAAGCCCCGTGTCCCTCTGTGACACCTCAACAGAGACAAGAAGACCATGGCATCCTTGATATGGGATGCTGTCCCAGGGGCTTAAGCTAAAGCTGTCAGAATGGCAGTTGCTCCCCCTTCAACTAGAGAAGCTGCCCTGCCAGGGTCCTGGGAGGACAAGCACGTGGGCAAGGCTGGCTGGTAGCCCCAGCCAGGCCATCTTAAGGTGTTAGGGAAGGCCAACAGCAACAGCTGTTTTCTAGGGGATAAAAAAATTGGCTGAGACAAGATGAGAAAGAGCACAGTGGTGTACAATGCAAAGGAAGAGTCTGTTAAGCATGAGCGATGGCAGGTAGCAGTAAGGGAAGAAGAAACAGATGGCCTTTGGGCACAAAGACCACAGGCAAACACAGGTGGGAAGGAGAGTGAGTGAATGGGAAGGGTGAGGGGAAGGAGGGGAGGAAGGGAACCTGAAACAGAACACACACACACACACACACACACACACACACACACACCAATCTAGAAGAAAATA